GCCTCTGGGGGTCTTTGGCGCTGGTCTCCCTTATGTCAGCTTCGGGCTTTACGGGTCGGTTCTGTGGTCCACAGTCATTTTGATATCTTGTATAAACATGTACACTCACAACAACACACACACACATGCCATTCAGTCAGTGTCCGACCAGATAACCCAGGATGTAAACATGTGTGTGTGTTGTTGTGAGTGTACATGTTTATACAAGATATCAAAATGACTGTGGACCACAGAACCGACCCGTAAAGCCCGAAGCTGACATAAGGGAGACCAGCGCCAAAGACCCCCAGAGGCACACGGCGCAGGTGATTTAGTCACTTCAGCCTCTTGTTTTAGTAGATTTACAATAAGTGCTTTGATTGGATGAAAAAAGCCCGTCTGTGATTGGCTGCTGATGTGGTTCATTTACACACAACTTGGGTTGTGAGTGCAGACAGAGCTGTGAGCGAGCGTTGAGAGAAGGGAGGGAGGACGCTGCGTGTGTGTGTGTGTGTGTGTGTGTGTGTGTGTGTGTGTGTGTGTGTGTGTGTGTGTGTGTGTGATTTAAACACACACAGTTCAGATTATTGTTTGTTCATATGAATGTGTGCTCTCAGATCAGTGTTAGTGCACGCTCAAGCTGATGACACAAACGTAACACCACAGACCACCGGACTGTGTGAGGCAAACGTCTTTCTGACTTTCCTACATTTATTAGACTTTAATTATTTTTCTGTGTTCATTCTCGTGTGATTTTAATAAAGCACTATAATGATGCCACTGCCCAACCTAACCTTGTTTTTACAAAGATKAAACTTTGTACTGCTCACAGTTACTGACTTTACTGCTTTGATTTTTGCAACACTGATGTAAACTTCTTGTTTTCTTTTAATCTTTGTAACAAAGACATTTTAATGTTACATAAGKTTCCTTAAATAAAATGTTACAAATGTTTCCAAGTGAAACAGTGTGAAAATMAAAGCAGAGGGGGTTTAATGCACTCAGTCAGTGTGTGGATAAACGTCTGTCTGGAACRGGACCTTCAGCTCTGGGCAGGTGCTGCAGTCGGGGGGCAGTGTGCACCCCCACCCTGCCCATTCCGTGAGGCTGATGCTCTGTTTAAACGACCTGCTGTGGTGTTTTTAATTAGGTTCAGTGCCATTCATGGAGAAAAAACAAATCTCTTAAACTCAGCACAACTGGAAAACTGATGGATGTTGTAAATGTTGTAAATGTTCAGGGAATAAGATTATAGAATAATCTGGAAAGTAATTATAAAAATGTTGCTTCAATGTGTTTGTTTAARAGAATGATAAAAATAAGTTTGTTAAAGAAATATGAAACTGTATAATAAATATCTAAGTTGTTTGAGAATGAATTGAAGTATTTATTTATTTTTATTTTTTATTTTTTCTTCCTAATTATTATTGCTTTAAATTAATTGTAGAAAAATGGGGCAGATATGAGATTTTTTTCTCCTTTCTGCCTCCTTTCATTTCAATTTGATTTGTATATGTTGTTTGTTGTTGTGTATATATATATTTTTTATGTGTATAAAATTTTTGGTTTTAAATGAAATGAATAAATAAATAAACTAAAACTAAA